GAGTCCTATAATTCAAGGACTTTCCGATGCCCCAGCCATTACTTCCAAAGAACGAGTTTCGGCAGACCTACAACTTTACCCATGTCTTAACAACGAACTTCTGCTGCCTACGGAGGATGTTTCAGTGCTGAACGTCTGTAGGTTTGGAAGGCGCTCATCGGTGCATCAGAGCACCATTCAAAGTAGTGTTAGCTGATAAATAACAAGTGACACTTATTCCTTCAGGATGATCAGAATCAAATATACAAAATATAACTTTTCTACAACCGGAATATACATCGACAGAGAGATTGAAATGCTGACATAATTTTCGGAACTTATGTTCCAGAACTAATGTTCTGGAAATGAAAAGAAAGTTAAACTTCTTCTTATGTAGATCATTAACTGTTTCTTCCAGATGAACATAGTCAGGAGACTTATTTCAGGAAACGACAAGATTTTGAAGAAGACCTGCTGAGCCAGGCAGTTGCAAATCCTACAACTGCATAAGCAAATTGGGCGCTGCCGAGCACAAACGCCACGTCAACTTCATCATGCCCAAGAATCCATGGGATATTTCTTTCATGGGCACGCTGAAGACGTTGTCGCTGATTTTTGGTGAGCAGTCATCACTGTTCAACACCCGATTCCAGTGTTTCCAGCTGTGCAAACGGGAATCCGACGATATCGTCACGTATGCCGGCATTGTGAATCGCGAGTGTGGGCGTTTTCAACTTGGTTCTCTCACTTAAGACCAGTTAAAATGCCTTATTTTCATCAGCGGCCTCCAGTCCCCCAAGGATGCCGGCATCCGGGAACGTCTTCTGGCCCACGTACATCAGAGCAGCTCAGTTACTCTCCAAGAACTGGCTGCCGAAAGTCAAACATTGATAAATCTCTAGCACGATTCTGCCACGGTTCATAGCGCTTCAACTACTGGCTCAGTCAATGCGGTCGCAGCAGCTAAGCCACCTCCGATTTTGCGGCTCAAACAAGCCCGCAAGGCAAAATCCCCGCCCTCTCCTTGTCTGCACTGTGGCACGTGGCATTTCCATCGGGATTGCGCATTTCGGCAACATCGCTGCCAGAAGTGTAACCAGGTGGGGCACTCTGATGGGTGTTGCCAACCGTCAACTGATGTAAGCAGGCCCGCCCCTGCCAGTTCCAACTCCAAGCGCCGTTTCAAGCCAAAAGCAAGTCCAAATCTCAGTATCTCGACAATTCTCTGAGTCTGTCGGCCACATTCACAGTTAATGCAGCTGATCGCCGGAAGTTCGTTAATCTATCCCTCAACGGTCATGCAGTCCGCTTACAAATGGACACTGCTTCAGATATCACCATAATCTCTAAGAAACTCTGGCAGTCA